TCGTGATTTTCAAATTTGATCTAAAAATTTCATCACGAGTCAGACTCGTAAAAATAGTGCAATGGTTAAGAACTTGTCGATGATCACGGTTAGTATTAATTCGGTAAAGATTGCTAAGATAACGTACTGTGCGACGCGTTGAAATTCGTGTTCCACGAGGAGACGACCCGAGGAGGAATGATGGTCGGAAACAGTCCCGTGGATGGCTATCGACGTCTATCGATGTCTATCGACGTCTATCGATGGATTTCGGTAGATACTCGTTCACGGATGATCGCGATCTGACAACGAACTAGCGAGATACGTAGTTCGCGAGAAGACACCCGGCCTTTGTCGTCGTACAACGAAACTGGGACCTTTTGTTAGCTCGCCATCTGCTGCGTTCTTACGTCGAAAATTACGTTATTTTTCTCCGATCCGTTGTCCCTGCATCAACACTTTGGACCGTATCGTTAAATTATGGTTTGATAACGACGCCTCGGATACACTCCGCGGCAAAATGATAGGACACCACTATACTATTTTTATTGCACAGTATTAACGCTTTAACACGTTCGTTACTACGTCTGAATAATATTTAATCGCAGCAGAAATTTTCGACAACGTTTGTCTGCCTGTCGACGTGTCAACAACCCGCACAGTTTTCGTAAACTACGCGCAATTACGTTTCTCCAACTCGCACAGACGTGCGTCCCTTATACAAGTATCGTTGACGTGGTGTTTTGAAATAATCTTACAAAAGAGGAGCATGCTCTAGATTTTTGCGTCGGTGAATATCAACCAGATCAAACCGTATTTATCTACAAAACCAAAGTCTGCGCGAAAGTATTTACCTTACACCATTCACGGCACGTTACGCCGACCGACTACTAGATTCACGTTGTGTATTAACGGTGACATAATGTAACCTTGTTTACGTTGCTACGCCAAATTCTCCGAAACCTGTTTCGATTCCCCGCCTATTCGTAGACCACAATGACGTCACCCCTCGAGGGGAACCCTATTATATCGCGAAACGAGAAATACATTATTTATCCACGTAGGATACTGAAACGAATCACGCGGCAATTTTTTCAAATCTATTTAGAAAGGACCACGAACAACCGCTCGATGTCTGACGTCGATCGCATCGGCGACCATTAAACACATTCGAATACAGAATCTTTTAACGCGTTCGCGCTAGCGGTTCCATTTGTGTTCCTCGTCATGGGGCGGCGCAGCGGTACACCCTATTTGATTGACACGCGAGAGTGAGCCACCAGTGGTACACGCCGCCCGATGGGACATAATAGCGCGATTCATCGGTGGTACACGCCGCGCTAGAAGTCCTTCAATTGATGTAAGAAAAAGAGGAACGACATAGTTTAACATCCAAGAAGAAGGGAGAAGCAAAGGATCCGTAAGAAATTGTGAAGAAAGCGAAGTTTGAGAATCGCTGGGCTACGATGGCTATAAACTACTATAAAGGTTTGAATCCCTGCTGTTCGGTAGCAAGTCGTAAGAGAGTTGTAATTCGCTAATAAGATAACTCGACTCGACCGCATGCAAACGACGCGATTCGAATCGATAATAATAAATCGTGTAAGTCACGGTTCGTGGACACGGGAACTTGAAAACTTCGATACACGGTCGAGA